GAAATAGCAGAATTGCAGATTTGTTGCCAATCTAGAGAGACTAAGCTTCGCAACACAAAAATAATGCCTTCATTTATTGTTGCGAATTAAATCATGCTTAATTCTTTCTGGAATTTTTTCTAGGAAATAAGTATTTAAAATTTACTTCGTAATTTTTAATACAGATATTTTGAATTTTTATATATTTTTGCCTTGTCACAAAGTGAGAACTGAATTAATTGAATGAGAAATACTCAATCGTCTGTGGAAAACTGTTTCTTTTTTGTTTTGTTTGCTTAATTTCTTTTATACATCGTTCTAGCTTTATTATAGTATTTGAATAGAACATGTGGCAATGATTAGATAATTATTTAAATGATATAAATTTTGTGCCTTCTGAGTTATAATATGAACAAAATATAATACTGTTAAGTGAATCTAGCACCAGAGTGTTGCTATGGTAAACAAATAGAGTGAATTTTAAAGAATTCGTTTATTCTGTTGTGGTTTATGCGCTGTTGGCGAAGTAGATTTAATTCAATCCAATAAGTTTAAATGAAATGCAAGAAAAAACGCATATAATTTAATATTCCGTAGAAGGAAGTCATGTGGTGTACACATCAGATTTTTTTTTAATAAAACCTTCAATTTTATCATTTGAAGTAAATATATTGCTATTGTTTCCTTGAAGAGACAAAGTTAATGAAGGAATTGCAAGTAATGTTTCTTTAAATTCATGTACCTTATTTAAATTTTATACCACTCCATGTGGGGCAAGAACCCACAGATAAGAAATACTGATTTAGGTCATTGCAGAATTTGTTGGTTGGTAAAAACGTCCTATGTAAAGAAGAGATAAAAAATGTAATAAGTGAATGTTTTGGGGGAGATTTTTCAAAAAGAAATAAAAATATTGCTTGAAAGATGAGCAGAAATCATAAGGTGATGGATACAATATTAATAATTTATTTATATAGCACTTTTACATGCATTGGAAATTGTATGTCTCTGATCTGTATTATTTCATAATCAGCTTGATACTTTTATTGTTTACTGAATGAAAAACCAATGTATCATGAAAGTTCATAAAATGATCTGATAATTATTGGCATTTTAACAGAGATACCATCAAATTAATCAGTTTAAATTTAATTCATTGTCTGTTTGAAAAAACTCTGGACAATATATCAGGGTTTTTACGGTCCTTAAGTGTTTTGGAATTGATTTTTGGTCCTTAAAAGTCCTTAATTTGGACCAAAATCGACAGAAGGTCCTTAATTTTAATCATCTGAAATGTCTGTCTGTTTTTGCGACTGCCATTTTGAGTGAGAATTATTATTTTGGAGCTTTTATTAAACAGTTCTGAATTTGGCGACTTATATACATTTTGGTGATTTTAAGATCAGTTTCTATAGAAAGTTTTTAATCTGGGAATTTTTTGACAGTTGTTTTTAAAACATTGTAACGTTGATAAATTTCATTAAAACAAAGGTTAATATATTGAAATTATATTTAAAAAATAAAATTAGAATAAAACATTTTAATTTTTCACCATCATATTAGAAAGTTTGATTTTGGCAACTTATTATACAATATTTTGAGTCTGAAAATAAACAAGGTATAATGTATAGAAAATGTATGTATGAAGCACAATTTATGAAACAGTTCTTATCAAAAGCAAAATTAGCAATGTAATTAATTAAACATGTCTTCTTTTTTATTTTTTCATAGTAAGAGTTCTTCCCAAGTAATTAATTGTATCAGAATATTCAGAATTCTCAGAATATGCATCAGTTTTCTCTATAAAATTATTTTTATAGACCTATGATTCTAGAAGATTCCAGAGATATGTGACAAAGTTAAAATTGTCTCCGTGGTATTAACACGTAATGGATGTGTTTTACAGAAAGTTTGAGATGAATTTCTTACTTTTTGGAGAATGTCTGGAAGAACAATGAAAACATAATATTTGAATATTTTACTTCTGATACTAGAATCTTTTTCATAACATTTTTATCTTCCCTTTATTTTCTCTACTTTTCACCAGACACAAGTTTGGAAAAGATCAAAAATGCTTGTAATCTTATCACATGGGCAAGCGTTATAGAAAGGAATATTTTTATTAATAAAAAAATTGAAAGCTGACAGTTTAAAAGATTCATCTAATATGTCTTAATGCATCATACACCCGGCTGGCACCAGGCACTTTTCCTCCTGATGCAATCTCTGTGCATCTTTTCTGCTGCTTAGTGCCTTTCTAAATTCTGCTTCCAATGTCTGCTCTAAATTCTAAACGTTTTGCCATTTCTAGATTTTGTTGCTCAGTGTGTCACTAATTTCTAAAAATTCTGCCACACCAGCTCTGTAACTGGCCCTTACTGGAAATATTTTATATTTCTTCTGAATGTTCATATTACTAAAGAAATAAAATTAGCCACTTTTTCTGTACATTCTAAATGCACTTTTTTAAAAATTTTATTTTAGAATAACAGAAATCCTTAATTACATTCTAAAATAAAAAGGAAACCTGTTGAAGAAAGATACTGAATACATGAAGAAAATTATTCTTCAAAGATATGTACAGTTGTTATGTAAATTACCCAGTTGTTTCTGATTTCAGTCTTTACTATAATTTCCCATTTCTACAAGGGCCAGTCAAAATTTAGTTGAACTGCTTTAGAAAACAAAACAGGAGAGAAATTTTACAATAAATTTATTTGTATCTTAAAGTTCCATTCAAAATCTATTTTTCAACGTAATTACCTCCGTTACTTAAGCATTTGTCGAGGTGTGGCCAAGTTTGTCGATGCCGTTTGCAAAGAAAAATCCTGTGCAATGCCCGATAACCATTCTTGGGTTGCCGTTTTCACCTCGTCATCCCAGTGATATAATCGCTTTGAAAGTTCTGCTACTATGGGACCAAAAACAAATCATGCTGCAAGGTGTAGGCTATAATGAGGGTGATTCTAGACTTCCCACCTAAACGTTTTCAGAAGGTTGCACGTTTGTTTTGCTGCATGCGATCTTGCATTGTCATGCAGGAGCACAATGCCTTTCAACAGTTTACCTGGGTGTCAATTTTTTAATGATTGTCATAATCGTTTTAGTGTTTCACAATAAGAAGATGCATTAATTGTGGCCCCCTTCGGCATGAACTCTGTATGCAGCAAACCTTCTCTGCCGAAAACGCCTTCAGCTTCACGTTTCCTGCTGATGGAACAGTTTGACACTTTTTTTGTGTTTTGGGAAGTGAAATGTTTCCATTTGAGGGATCTGCGTTTCATTTCAGGTGAGAAGTGGAGAATCCAAGACTCATCTCCGATCACAATTTTGTCCAAAAACTGATTTCCTTCCTTTTGGTAACATTGCAGAAATTTCAACGCAATTTCAAAACGCTTCCCTTTATGTTCCTCCATCATCATCGAGGCACTCATCAAGCACAAAGTTTATGAAATTGAAGCTGATCGGCAGTAATTTATGCGCATTTCCATGAGAAATATCCAGTTCATTAGAAATGTTAGCTATTGTTATGCGTCTGTTTGCAAGAATGCATTCATTCACGCCAGCAGACATTTCAGAATTTGTGGCAGTTGATGATCTTCCATCGCGCTCAATGTTGTCAATATCTATACGCCCTTCTTAAACATGTCGCACCACTTCACAATAGCTTGACGTTACATTGCATTTTCACCATAAATTTCATACAACTGTCGATAAATTTCACAGCCTTTATACGTTTTCGCCTATAAAAAGCAAATTACTGCACGCATTTCCAATTTGGACGCCACTTGCAGCTGTCCAGACATGCTCACGACTGACTATCAGACAAACTAAAGTTGCCTTGTAAAAGCTGCTATGCCACACGATACAGCTAAATGTCTGAAGTGTCGCCAGATAGTTTCATCGAAATAGCCTTTAAAAGAAAGTTTTTACAAAGAGGTGCAACTAACTTTCTGACTGACCTACATATTTCCTCATATGATAGAGTTACTGAGCCAGCTTAAATTTAAATTAAATTGTATAATCTTTGACCATTAGTATACATTTTTAGTTTGAATTTGACTGTTCTTATTTAATAACGCCACCATGAGCTGTAATTGATTTTGTTAGCATCAGAACATGTCTTAATGTTCTAAATGTTCTAAGTTCTTTTTTAAATAAGAGGCCTTTTTTTAAACCTCTGTCTGATATTACACTTACTTTCAGACATAGTAATAATTTGCTTCGTGTCTGTCGGGGGGTGGAACTATTTAAGTTTTACCAGATCACGTAAACCCTCATAGGTATATTGTGGAGAGGTTGACAAGTTATTAGATAAAGCATGCAGAAACTAGTCGGAACATTGGTTTGTGTATTGAGACAAATTTCTGATTGTTAGAAAAAGATGCTTAAAGAGAAGGAAATCAATAAAAATAAGCCAAAATGTCTGGGAAGGCTTCAAATTAAAATGACACATAAGTGTTTTGTTGAGGGTTGTTATTACAAGCCATAAATGTTTTGTAGCTTTTAATGTGTAATTATCTTAATATCACTTAAAAACCAATGTCATAATTTAGATATATCTTAAACTGTGAAATTTTATTAGATTTTGATTTTAATATAAAAAGAAATAAAATTTAATAGTGATCATGTAAATCCATAATGATGAAGGTTATCTATCTAACTACCTAATTTAATCATTTAATCCAACTGCTTACCCTTAAAAATTTTCTCTGCATACTAAAGCTAGTTATTGCCTTTCATTAATCCTCACCGTGGTCACAAAAAATTCAAGTAAAACTTATTCTTTGCATCTAGTGAGACTTAAAATAATACAAAAGAACTTATCACCTCTGGTGCTTTAGTGGCTTATTGAAACCTTAAAGTATATTAACTGGGTTACAACTCCTGGAACTCTACACGAAGCTATGGCATTAACTGCATAAAACAAAGCCCAACTAACTTTTAAAACTTGCCAACTGTGCTTACATCTATTTAATCTCTCAGTGATAAATAATGAGTTTTATTTTTTTTTTTTGCAGGAGACAATGTATCTGTGCATTATGATCCAATGATTGCTAAGCTTGTGGTATGGGGAAAAGACAGAAAATCTGCTCTGAATAAAATTCAGTCATGTTTGTCTGAATATAATGTAAGTTAATGTGATATTCCTTACTTTCTTGTTATTACAAATTTCAAAATTTTGAAGGTAAAACTTAGCAGAAGGGTTATTTTCATCTTTAAAATATAGTTCTTATATTGTTAGAGGAATTTGATATACATTTTTTAATAAAAGATGAAATTTTTAGTTTTAAAAATAAAGGACATTATGTGTATAATTTTGTTTATGACTTTGTATACTCCAGTTTTTATGCATAGCAATAGTTCTATGTATATTTTGCATACAAGTACATAAAATTCATGTTTCAATTAGCACTATTATTTTCGTTAATATCTCTTTATGCATGCTTGTAAAATATTTTTAGCATGAACAATAATGAAAAAATTAATTAATGCTGAATTTATATAAAAGTAATTTATTTAAATCCAGCATTAGTAAGTATTAATCAATTTATATTAATAAAGTGATTCACAACATGTATAAATTTCGATCTCATATTTTAGAAGCAAAGTGCTTGGCAGTTTAAAAAATGTGTTATTTAATTTTATGAATTTAATTCAGTGGTGATGTAATGTAAATATTATCATGTTTCCTATGAATATCCATAAACACTGCCAAGTGAAAATACATCAATTTATAAGACATCACAAACAGTGTGATATGATATTGTTCAGGCTAGCTACTAATTAAGTCTGGATTTATAAAGAGGAGATGTTAAAACCATTAATCTTCAAGCATTAAAACTGACAAGAAAAAAACGTCATTATATGGTATCTGCTGATATATTACTTTTATAATAAATGTATTCTCAGAAAATAGCAGAATGGTGTCTGTTCAGCAGGTTTGAAGTGCTTCTCTTTGCATTCATATGAAATGTTTGCAAATGGTAATCTAATTTGACAATCAGTTTACCAATAGTAAGTAATAAAACATATGACTCGTCCTTGTCTTTATTATCTATTACTTTTTTAATGTAAGAATAGAATCCAATTAGAAAAAGCATTCATTTACATCAGAAGCAACATAATAAATAAAAACTACCAAAATATGTTTTAGTTTACCAAATATACATAATTTCATTACCACATAGTTTCATTTTACCAAATACCATCTCATCTCAACTTTTTTTTCTGCTACTTACTAAGAATTAATGATAAACTACTTTAATATACTTCTATTGCCTTAACATTAGAGAACATTAAAATGCTATTCAAATTATTCAAGTTCATTTACTCCTGGAATTCAGCAGTTCTTTATACAGACCACTGATCCTGTGTAAAATTTCAAATAGATATACACCTATCCCTTGATTTACATAGAAGATAGGTTCTGCACAAAACTGTGTAAATCGAAACCTTGGATTTTGCTATGTAAAACCGTGTAAAACGAAAAACACACTAAATGTGCGTAATTTAGTTATTTATTTACATAAAAGAAAAGTAAGACATCTTAAAAAAAAATAAAGTTAAATTTCGTTTATAAAGTAACAAATATATGTAGGTAATAGAAGTACATATTTAATTTATTTTACGTTAGGAAAATATAAGATCATTCAAATAAATTATAAGTTTAATCATTGTCATCACTTTCATGCACTATTAGTCTTTTCTTCTTGATTGATATGATGTCACTTTCATCACTTAAGCCTTCTTGATAAGATTCTACTTCAATTCTGACGAATTAGGGAAGATCTCAGATTGACCAGACTTTGCAGCGAAATCCGTAATTAAGAATTGCCTAGTTGTTTTTTCCAAAATTTTTGTAAACCTCCTTATATTGATTTAAACACTTACTAAGCTGAAGTTGAAATTGGAGAACTCGTTGAACATTCATGTCATATTGTAAAGAATGATTACCTAATTTTCTTCCCAATTCAAACCCTACTCTGATGATTCTTGCTATGAATGTAACTGGTTCAGATTGCTCTTCATTAGAATCATTGTCTTCATCATGTTTATTTGCTTCATGAATCATGTTAACTAACTCATCCTCATTTAGCTCTTCATCAGCCATTATTCTTCAATATCTGCCTGAGCTAAATCCTCAAAATCTTCTACTCCTATAGTTTGGGCCAATTTAGTGATCTGAGAATATTCATGCTCTAATGGTAATCTATCATTATCATCTTTAGCAGCATTTGACCATATTGCTTTCCAGCATGCGTTGATTGTTTAACTTGACTATATGACAGTTTAACATGCTTAACACAATCTAAGATTGTAAATTTCTTCTGAGCATCCATAACAGTAAGAAATCCATCATTTCCCATACGATGACTTATGACCTTATGATACCTTAATGACCACTAGCTGATTTGCAAACTTTAGCTAAATAGGTTCTTTCAGGCATTTTTTTTTTTTTTTTTTTTCCAGAACAACCCTAACTTGTCAATTTTGAAGATCTGATTAGAAGTGTAGGAGTTAGTGGCAGTGATTTCAGCAAATTTTGCTGGATACTGTTGTGGTACATTTGAATCAGCAGATGCACTTTCTTCTTTCAATCTTAGATTATATAAAGAATGTCTTTGTTTAAATCTCTCAAACCAACCACCACTTGTGGAAAAAGATACCTTTTTTTTTTTTTCATCTGGCAAAGTCAATGGTAACTGATTCTTAAGTGCTTTATAAATCTTTAAAGCCTTATTTGTAATAGCATTAGTATCAGTTAGAATCCATTTTTGATTTTAGTCTCCTATCCATATCACTAATGCCTTTTCCATATTTTCCATTGTTTCATCTCTTACATGTGAAATTGTGCTCTTATTGCTGCAAGTTCCAGCTGCTACACTTTTCCTAATAGTTTCTTTTCTTCATTCGTGGAGTAAAATTTAGCAACATATGTTACTCTTTCTCTATTACATACACAATCTAATATTTTAATTTTTCTTTGTAAAGAAATAACATTTCTTTTTATTTGATTTTTTTTCCAAATCTTTTGGCATGATAAAACCTTAAAAAATTTATGTTAATTATTAAAGTGCCACAAAAAATATAAATGTTGAAAACTATTAGTAAAAATTCAAATATGTAGATAAAAATGATGTAATCTTTGGTGCTAAAATACTGATACTGCACTAGTTCATATGAACCAACTAGCTTTACTGTTGTGAAATACATGTACATACTACGAGGATTCCCCTTTTTACAACACGGGGAATCCCCATCCCTGTTGTTGCCACCAGTCTTACCAAAGGAATGAGATTCAAAAATGACTTCATAAATATGTATTTATGGGGGGGGGGAACGTCGCAGCGCAAAATGAATTGGAAGTTGATCTGTCAGCACTATCCTTATCTTCAAGGCAGATGTTTTTATTTTATTTGACTTATAATTGCTTACTAAATGTAGTATTTCATCTCGATGTACTCCATCTTTGATATGATTTAAATCAAATTCTTCGTCATTATAATTCGCTTCCAATAGTGAAGAAAGTGACACAGAGGTTATTGAAAACGAAAAAATTTCGATTGACAAATTAGTCGGTATTCTCGACACAGCAATTATAGGATTTTGAACAGTGGAACTTTGTAATTGAATAAGAAATTATGTCTGTTTATAGAATTAAAGAGAAAGTATTATAAAACGAAACAACTTACATTGAAAGAAATGTTTAATAAAATAAACAAATAAATATAAAGTTTTTTTTTTTTTTTTTTTTTTTTGTAAATTTTGATATCCTTTAGATCATAATTGTTTTTTATTTCATAAGTTACGGTTTCATATTTTTAATTTTATAATTTCTGCATGCCATCTTACCAGATTTAAACTGGTCTATAATCCGGAAAAATCGATAATCCAGAATCACCGAAGTCCCGACGAGTCCGGATTAACGACTTTTGACTGTATTTAAATTAAATTAACATAATTTGTTACTTATTATTTTTATGTTGAAGAAAAATAATTCTTTTGTTTCATTTTAAAGAATTTTGCATGATTTTATCATTTTCTTTGTTGAATATCTTTAAACATAATGAATTCATCTGTGTAAAGTCTTAATACGAGTCCTTTCGTTTTTTCCATATAAAATATATTTGAAAATGCAAACTAATCATAGATTTGAGATTCTTTTATATTTTGGATAACATGGCATGTTGATTTAATTTACTCATTATTCAACAATCTTAGAAATTATATATATGTATATAAATATGTAAGATAAAAAATATGTGAATCAGCATTATAATTTGAACTAACAGTAAACTCTTTTAATTCTCCCTCTCGGTTCTAAAAATCGTAATAACTTCCCTGGATTGTGTCATTTCTAGATCATTTGATTTTGTTTGGCCTGCACAGCACTGATGAAGTGATAATTGGGAACTGAAAGTTTAAACTCAAACCAAAACCTTGCTCTTCATGTCCCTCCATCTTGCATAACTGTGCACTTCAGCTTCACTCACTACCCTGCTAGGATGTAACTTTGCTGTCTTGCTTGCTATTGCAATAATATCAAAAATGCAAATTTTCTGTAAAAAGGCAGTACTAGAGTGCCAATTGGTTGTGGCTGCAAACATCAACTAGAAAATAAAAATGAAATTAAAACTGCCTGGACTGCCAAGTTCTCTTAGATATTACCAAATCAACATATAAGCATACTACGCAATCAGAATTCTTCCTCTTCAATATGGATCTAATAGGTATTATGCATCATCACTGCTCCATCTTTTCCTTGCTAATTATTTCATTCATATATATATGTATATATCTTTGCAGATTGTTGGAGTTAAAACCAATGTAAAATTTCTTATGGAACTTGCAAATCATTCAGAATTTACCCTTGGAAATGTTCATACAGATTTTATACGTCAATATGAAGGGGATTTATTATCCACTAAACAACCACTACATCAAGATGTCTGTGCAGCTCTTTTAAGTGTTATTTTTCATGAAAGAAAACAAGCAATTTCTGATATTTCATATGGTAAGCATAAAATTAGTTTTCAAATTTATAGCTGTTCAAATATATTTTACTGTAGCTTGAATTTTTGTATGCTTTAATTTTTTATGATTTAACTTGCTAAAAAAATAAAATAGATCTAAATTGATGCAAGTGGCAGAAGTAATATTCCACTTAGGCTCATTATATATGTTACCACTGAAGTGCAAAAGTCAATAATGTGCACATTACCTAGCTAATCCGCAGATTGATTGATTTGCTCTGATTGATTGAAGTGCAGAATCAAGAGTTTTCTACATTTTATGTAACTATCACAAATGTGCACATTAATGGCTTCCATATCGTTAAAGTACAAAAGTGTGTTTCTCTCATTTCCTTTCTCTCTCCCTCTACTTTGCACATTACCTACTAGGCACCTGTTAAACCGAAAATACGATCTTTGCTGGAACAACAGCAACGTTTCTGTACACTTAAATTCACGTAATGTTATTTAAGTTTCAATATCTAAAAATCGAGTTAATACAATAAAAAATCCAACAAATTAGTTGATAGAATCAATCATCAGTCAATTAAAAGAGACTAATACAAATAATAAAATGGCTTAAAATATTATTACAATTAAAGAAAGAAATTTGCAAAACATATGATAAAATTGTGCTCACTTATTAGTGCAATGTAAAGATTGATGACACTTTAAATTGCATAGCAGTGTGATTTGACGACAAGCACAAGTATTTGTGGTATATTTAGATTTGCAATAACATTTTCTGAAACCCTGCTTGATCAACAATTTAAAAGTAGGGGTGATTTTATGCGTACAGAAACATTGTTGTTCTGGCAGATTTTATTTTCACTTTAACGACTCCCTAGTAGGTAATATAGTACAAAGTGGGACATCAGCGATTCTGTATTAGGGGTTTTCCGGATTATAGATCATCAATATAAATCTGGTAAGATGGCATGCAGAAATTATAAAATTAAAAATATTAAACCATAATTTATGAAATAAAGAGCAATTATGATCTAAAGGGTATCAAATTTTACAAAAAAAAAATAGCTTAATATTTATTTGTTTACTTTATTAAACATTTCTTTTAATGTAAGTTGTTTAAGTTGCTTCGTTTTTTGTGCTAATACTTTCTCTTTAATTCTATAAACAGACATAATTTCTTGTCCAGTTCCACTGTTTAAGTCCTGTGTCGAGAATACTGACTAACTTGTTAGTCAGTATTCTCGTTTAATTGCTGTGTCGAGAATACTGACTAACTTGTCAATCGAAATGTTTTCATTTTCAATAACCTCTCTGTCACTTTCTTTGCTATCAGAAGCGGTACATCGAAACATGCTTTCGCTTTGTAGATCCTTTGGCAGCTCCAGAATCGGAAACTCTTTTTGACATAATCAAAAGTTCAAGCTTACTTTTTATAAAACTGCTCTAACAGTCTGCAATAAATAATAAGCCGGATCCAATTAGAAGATTAAAGAACAACGCAATCTGCAACATTAACTGAAACAGATAATTAGATCATTTTAGCCTAGCTTATACCGTCCATTATACATTAAATGTGCATGCATAAAGGTATTATGCACATGCGTAAAGGTATTATGTGCAGAAAGTTTGTAGCTTTGAGGTCCGGATTATAGATCATTATGAATTATGGATGTCCGGATTAAAGACTTTGTACTGTATACAGATTATCTAGGCAATTTGCAGATTATCCAGGTAATTTGAGAAAGGAAACAATTTTCCACACTTTAAAAAAAATCACCCTAGTTAATTGCAGATTAGTTAGATATCTGCAGAATAACTGATTTTTGTACTTTAGCTGTAACATATATATTTTTCCCTCATATAATTTTCATTATATAGCTTGCATCAGAAGATATTAATAATTGCATAAAAAATGCCATGTTGTTATTATAAAATTTATATTAAAAATTCCATGTGTGACCAGTATCATTGTTGTGTTAACATACAATGACCTTGAGCTACCAATAGAAGCACACCTACAATATGCACAGGAAATGCAAGATACATTTCAGTAGGATGACAGTATCCTTGCAACAATGCATTGACCAGTTTGTTTAGTAAAAGAATTACATGTTCATCATTGGATAAAATTTCACTATAGTTACAAGTTTATGAAACTTAAAAAAATGTATGAGTAGATTGAAACATTGAAGACCAGTATCACTTGCTGTGAACGATTATTTTCTCCTATTCCCAGTAACCATAGCTATTGAATTCAGAATGTGAGAAGACCAGCAAGCCCCAATCAAGAAGGTGATATAATTATTGTATTTTAATATTGAATTAGGATATCACCTCTTTCATGACAAGCTGGAGAGGGGAAATGAGTGCGTAAGCACAATAGCATAGCTTAAGTTTCTGCTACCCAGAGTAGATGCCAAATTTTCCACCCCTTACAAAATATAATATTATTACAGAGATAAAATATTCTAGAATAAAGAAAATATGAAGCTGTAAAGAGATTTTCTTTTCTATAATTTTTTTAATTCTTACATACTAGCAAACAAAATTTAATTTCAAAATATATTTTGAGTTCAAATATTAATAAATTATTATCTAAATACAGTATTATTACTTTCAGAAATGTATTGCTTCTTGAAAATTATGATAATTATTATTTAAAAATACTGATTATTGTAGTGTGATAAACATTTCTTTTTTCGTTGGAGAAAATCCTCTTTGGGGGCTTACTCTTTGTGAGTATGGGTGTGCCAACCCTCATGTACCTTAGCCCTTCAAGGGATCCCTCTCTTGGTGAGATGGGCATCACGATTCTAGAGCTCTTAGTGATTTATTCTCCTCTCTTTTTTTCTTCCTTTTCTATATCTTCCTCTCATGTGGTTTTCCATATCAGAAGTTGGAGCTCAAAATGAGATGTTGTTAGATGCCTTTGTTTCTAATTTTTCATGGAGAGAAAACTGCCTGCATATTTTTCATGCATTGTGACTCATAAGGCTGGAAAGGAGAGTCCTGGTAGTTGAGGGGCGAGGTACGGTCCCTAGCACACTGCTTTGGCCTGTGCTCCATTAAATTGCTTTCATGGCATTATTTCCCTGATCAACCTCTAATTCGTATCTGAAGAGGAAATAATCTAAGTTGTCTGACTGGAATGTCTGTGCTGCAAGGTGGATCAAGATGCGTAAAGAAGGTCAGTTGATAAATACATAACACATAATTCTGACCTTCTGTTTGCCTGGTCTGCCAAAAAGTATTAAGGCTGGGTATTTACACTGCTCCATAAAACCTTATGAACAAAACTTTTTAAGATGCTTTCAATGCCAGCATTTTGGCCATTTAAAAATGTCATGTTGTAGCAAACTCGCATGTGTACGTTGATCAATTAAAACATAAAACATTTCAAAATTATTTCTTTTTTGCAAATAAGCAGTTCATAAAATATTACATTGAAAACAACTTTTCCCTTTTTGAAACATGAGTTCTTATATTATGTGTTGCTAAATTTGGCGACTTACCAACATTTTGGTCATTTTAAAATCAGTTTGTTAACAAAAATTTTTATTTAAAGATTTGCGAATTTTATATTGATTTTTTTACAGACATAGTAACATTGATAAATGTTATAAAATCATAATATATTAAAATTTTATTTAAGAAAGAACATTAAAATAAAATATTTTTATTTTCTCCTCCCATATTTTAAGGTGACATTACTTATCATATTTGTGACTTGTGAATATTTTGATTCTGAAAATTAAATAAAATAATAAATCCTATAAAGCACAGTTCGCAAAACATTTCTTAGAAAAAATAAAAAAGCTACAGTAATGATTGTGAAATTAATTTCATTTGTCTTCACTCATATTTTTTTCCATGTAATTGTTTCAGAATATTTAAATGTGTACCAGTTTTCTCTTGAAAATTCACTTTACATATTTATTTTTGGATTTCACCCCCTCCCCAAAAACAACTCTTATGGCTTTTGGCTGGTATGCAGTTGGTAGGAATAATTTTTCTTCTGGAATTTTTACCTTGAACCTTGGATTTAGTATTTGGAAGTTTAGAAGGATGTGAAAGCAAAATTTATGGGCCTCAATTCGAGAAACTTGTAACAAAATGAAAAGTGTCTTCATGATATTAACACATACTGGAAGTGAATAACATGTTTAATTAAAATTTTGTGATAAATTTCTTATCTTTTAAGAATTTTTAGAAGAACAATTAAAATAAAATTATTTAAATTCTCTTCCCTTTATTTTATCATTTTTCCACTAGAAGCAAACAAAGGAAGTAAGCAAAGGAATTGAAAATTGACAGTTTATAAAAAATTCATCTTATGTCATAGCACATATACATACCTCAGTGCCTCCCTTAAATTGTGTTGCTTCACTTAATTCTAAATATCGGGCACACTGGCCCTGACGTTATATCATTTTATATTTATTCTCAATACTCATCTAAGTAATCATTAAAGGTATTAGTTTTTAAAGACTCATATTATTAACTAAAGTGTATTATTATTATAAAGACTCATATTATTAAAGAAATAAAATTAGTAGTTTCTTCTATACTTTCTAATTACAAGCAGTTCTGTAGAATAAGAGAAATCTTTAATTAAATCTGAAAATTCTAAAATGGAGAGGAAACTCATTGAAGAAAAAAATGTATTTTTTGAGAAAATTATTCTTTAAAGGTTCATTGTTCAAACATTAACAAATTATTAGATAAGCAAAGACATTCATTGGTTCAATGTTGGAGGGAACATTGGTTTGTTTATTGAAACAAAGTAACTTCAGAAAAAAGCTAAAAGAGAAGGAAATTCTTGTAAAGCATCTAAAATATTTGCAAAATTTTCAAATATATGTTGTTAGAGCTGAAGCAAATCGCATGTATTTGTTACTGAGTAACAGGTACGTCGATAGACTCAAAGAACCAACTCGGTACTCCCAAATTAATTTCATTACTCGCATTTGTTGTACAATGCGCTTTATTCAAATACAAATGATGTGGTTGTTTATTTGAATATGAATGATGT